CGTCCCTGCGTTCGTCCATGCCCCTGCCCCTGCGTCCGTTCATGCGTCCATCCATGCGTCTGTCTGTGTGTCCGTTCGTTCATTTATTCAACACTCCAAGTACCACCATCTCGCATCTTTTCAGCATATATTCCTCATATAGAAGCACCGCCATCCAGCAGACATTCCAAGGACTAAACGATAGGTGGCACAGCACACTTTCTTACGGCTTGCGCTTCGGGTCTACTTCCCACCTTTAACCACCTCGAGTTCATAGTATATACTAGATCACTGTATTCATGGCACTGCGGCCCAACGCTCGCTAAACGTTTCTAAAACCAAGAAGGTTACACCCAGCGAGTATAACGTAGCAACCTTTTCCTGTCAGATAGTGCTCAATGTACATGCCAATGGCTGCTAATGAGGATCGCAGCGTGCGCGTTAACTAAAAGCCAAATGCTCCTGTCTCTCATTCTCCATTAGCAGCCATTGGCATGTACATTGAGCACTATTTTATTGTTCAAAACGCACAGAAGTAATCTCTCACCGGCACCACCTTGAAGGTCAAAATATTATACTTGTTACATACTACAACGGCTATGAAGGACGAACGGGTGCCGCTATAGGCAACGTTACTTGGCTATAGGGGCGTACGGCTCAAGTTTCGCCGCGCGCGTGCAGCGCCGTTTCCTCCCCTGGCGGCCTTTGCTCCAATTCATTGCCGCACATGGGGCGCGCTCGTCCGCAGATTCGCTTGCAGTACGCTCCATGCTGCTTCGCCGTGATGAAAACTAGCGCGCCTAAGATGAAAAGACCGGGCTCTAAATATTGTTGTGTAGTTGGGTGCCACGACAGTGTCGCAAACACGAAGGGAAAAGAGCCCATCATCAGGTTCTATTCGTTTCCCTGCAAGTGGTACGAGACAGACCACCGAGAAGCCTGGATTAGGGCTGTGCGGCGGAAAAAGTGAGTGACCGTTTCTCTGTCTTTCTCCTGTCATTCAGTAGCTGAACTGCACTAAATTACCTTGCTTTCTAATAGCTCTGATGGCTCCCCGTGGCTTCCGGAAAAAAACACACGAATATGCAGCAGGCACTTCGTGAACAATGCGAAGAGCGAGAGCCAGGCCAACCCAGCCTACCTGCCGACTCTGTTTCCGGATGTTTACAAAAAGCGGCGGGTAAGTGGTGAGAGACACGAAAGGTAAGATGAAGGGTAGAATCAGCCAGATTTCGCACTGACCTATACTCGCCCTGCTTTTACCGCAGGTGGGCAAAGCGGAGTCGATCAGCTGCTAGAAATTTGACGTCGTCTCATCCGCCCGAGGAATCCTCACCCGTGGACGTGCTGTCGAACGCGTCGGAGGCCGACTGCTCGCCAGACGCGAATGCGCAATCAAAAGCCTTGGAGCAGGGCTCGCTGCTCTTGACGGAGGTGGAAGTCGGCGATCAGCAGTTCACATTGACTTACGTCGCGGTTAGTTGTCTTACAACGTGCAGATCGCAGGCTATGTGACCGGTGGCATGTAGCTCACCATGTATAATTGTTTTTATTCGAACTACGCAGGAAACGCCGACAGATCCTGTGTGCCGCAAGGGTCCTTTGCAGCTCATGCTGTCTGCAACCGATGGAACCCATGGGCCCTCACAAGTCACTCACGTTGCTCAAGCAGACAAGGTAATGTTTTTGCACTTAAAGTAACATACTTTCAACTCCTTCGATGGGGTAACTAAAGAATAAATCTACAATGAAATTGTGCACCCATTAAAATTATAAATTTGTACGCACTTAACTTACCTTTCACCCCTCTAACCTCCGGAACGGAGCTGCATTCATCCCAAGCATTTGAATTTGTATCCGCAGTTGGTTCTGAAGTACTACTGCCCAACGAACCAGATTTGTCGTTGGAATTAGTATAAAATTTGGGCCTGCAAGTTCTACTTTTTAAAATACAGCCATGTTACCGAGGGCTGCACTGAGAGCAGTTGGTTAAATGCTGCAGATAATCCTCGTTGAGTGGGTTATAGTAACTTCTGTCATTGAGTACAGCTGCACAAACTATCCGTTGGCGAAGACGCTGTTGCCACATCTTGCTTGTAAAAGCAGGGTGCTCGAATGAGCTATTCCCGTAACTTTAGATTTGCATACAAGGTCAATATCCGCGCAGTGGGCAAGCTGAAGGATGTCAACTGTTCTTTGACATGTTCATTGACAACTGTGCTATAACCATTTCTGTCTTAAGTCACTACGTAATAACAAACATTACACATTGCCCATCCTTTTAGTGACATTCGACGAATACAAAGGCAAAGCTCATATTCTCACAGTCACTCAGTACCGGCGACCTTCCGAATGACTGGAAAATTGGTAAGGTCGTTCCAGTCTACAAAGCAGGCGACAGCAACTCCCCACTCAATTATCGTCCCATTTCATTAACAAGCATCCCATTCAAAATCATGGAACATGTCATATATTCTCATGTTATCAACTTCCTCGATTCCAATAGTTTCTTTCACACCTGTCAGCATGGCTTCCGCAAGGGACTTTCCTGTGAAACACAATTAGCACTATTTCTTCACGACATACATACAAATCTTGACACCAACTTTCAGACTGACGCCATTTTCCTTGACTACGCAAAAGCATTTGATACAGTTCCACACAACAAACTAATACAGAAGTTATCCGGGCTAAATCTTGACCCTAACGTGTTAAGATGGATTCAATCTTTTTTTAGGTAATCGTTCTCAATTCGTGCACGTAAATAATGAATCCTCTGAACCTCTCGAAGTAACGTCAGGAGTACCGCAAGGGTGCGTCCTTGGCCCCTTGCTATTTCTAATCTACATTAATGACCTACCACTAACTGTGTCTTGCAAAATCCGCATGTTCGCCGACGATTGCGTGATCTACCATACAATAACTAATGCTTCCGATCAACTAACCCTACAACACGATCTGAACAACATTCAAGAATGGTGTGACAATTCGCTTCTCAAACTTAACCCCAACAAGTGTAAGGTTGTCTCATTCACTTGCCGCAAAAATCCTTTCCTATTCCCATACCAAATCACTAACGCCCCTCTAGAAATAGTACAGTGTTTCAAATATCTAGGTGTCACACTGTCCGCCGATCTAACTTGGAATGCGCATATCACAAACATTATCTCATCTGCAAACAAAATATTGGGATTCGTGAAACGTCATCTTCGTTACGCACCTCAACACGTAAAACTTCTCGCATACACATCCCTCATCAGGCCAAAACTGGAATACGCCTCTGCAATATGGAATCTGCCTCAAATTTACCTAATCAATGACCTTGAATCAATTCAAAATCGCTCAGTCCGATTCATACATTCGTCATATTTTTATGACATCAGTGTTTCATCCTTAAAAGCCCAATCTGGATTGCAGCCGCTTGCCCTTCGACGCCGCATAGCCACTCTTTCCCTGTTTCATAAGCTGTTTCATTCGCCCCTCAACCATCCTCCATACGTCATCCCTCCGACGTACATTTCGCACCGCACCACCCACCCCCTCCAAGTCTCCCGTTACCGCACTAGGACTGCTACCTTTTCCGCATCCTTCTTTCCGCGTGCTGTGAAGGACTGGAACGACCTCCCAAACCACGTCGTCACAATCACCTGCCCATCAACTTTCGCTAAAAATGTAACAACTCATCTCTGTCAGTGAAACTTTATGGCAATGTATATACCCACACCTATGTAGCAATATTTTATACTTTGAATGTAGCAAAAGTTTTATATCCTGTATACGTCGTTTATCCTGTTTTTTTACGTCGCCCATTTTGTTATCGCCAAGTGTCTATCGATTCTGCCTTGCGGACCTTCGTTGCAGACCTTCTTTTTACTCCTTCTCTATGCTACTCAAATTTTTCGCGCCTTCAAGAACAAACATTACTTTTTTTTCTGCGTGTACCGTTTTAATGCATTATGCATCCAATTTTTCGGGCCTTCAATTACTAGCCGTTGATTTTCCTATGTGTAACATTTTAGTGCATATGCATCTCAGTGTGAGTGATACCCTGATTGGTGTAACCATTTTTTTTTTTTTGAAGCGCTAATTCCTGTTCTGTTGTGTGCAGTAGCTCATATGTATACTTTTTATTATCAGTCTTTCTTTTACCGGTGCATCTTTTTTTTTTGTAAATTGACACTATTTGCACTTTTGTATGTTTCAGTATTGCCTCGTCGTTTCTCTTTTTCTTGTTTGTAGCGTTCCCATGTTTTTCGAATACAATATCGTTTCTTTGTTTAGTTGTTAGCGTGCATATATTTTTTTACTTGCATATTGTTGTTATCGCAATAGAATTGCGATACTTTGGTGTGTTGTGTCTATTACTGTAAAATTCTACAGCATGCATATCTACCGCCTGCTGCTGACGTTTGAATTGGGCTGACGGGCCTGTCAAGCTGCTTGTATGCAGCTTTTGTCGTCAGCCTTTCAATGTATTCACGATAAATAAATAAAGAATACCTCACCTAAAAAATAAAATAAATAAAAATACCAACCCCATATGTGGCAAATGTTTTTTATATCCTGTACATCCACCCCTTATGTAATACCCCCTTGTGGGGTCTTTAAGGAAATAAAATATGATGATGATGATGATGATGATGATGATGATGAAAGCTGATGAAGCTAAACACAAAAATGAAGCCTCGTAGCAGACATTTATTGGAAAGTTTTATTTTCTTTCTTGAATATTTATGAATGGTCGATTTTATTCTAGGTCACCCATCCTGAAAATACATGGGCAAGGAGGGGCAGCTTCCTCGGATACGAGTCCGTGAAATCATCTGAGCAAGCACTTCAGGACCTCTGCAGTGTTACAGTGACAGTCTTCAGCATGCTGCTCAACCTTCTGCCCGAGCAACGGTACCGGTCGTCAGATGTGACAAAAGAGGACAGATTGGTTCTCTTTTTGATGAAACTTAGGTGTAAGCTTAACGGCACTGGTTGCCATTTTCGGCATAAGTAAATCCACTGCCTCACGGATGTTCAGGGTTACACTAGATTGCCTGAGCGTAAAGCTGAGGAAGTGGGTGTTTGCTCCCCCGTGGTGTGCTATCAAGGACACTCTCCCAGAATGCTTTGTTCAGCATTACCCTAAGAGCACGTTCATCATTGACTGCACTGAAATCCGGACAGAAACGCCTATGGATCCAGAGACTCAACATTACCTCTACTCACACTACAAGGGATCGTACACTTTGAAGTTCCTTATAGCAATCCTTCCCAATGGCATGGTGTCGTTCATTTCAAAAGCTTATGGCGGGAGACATTCAGACTGTTTCATTACTCGAGATTCAGGATTTCTGTCGCTTATCGAACCGGGTGATTTGGTGCTCTGCGATAAGGGGTTTCCTGCGATAAAAACCACCATGGCAGACGAGGGCGCTGTCTTAGTGATGCCGCCTTTCAATGTCGGGGAGGGCAGCTTTCCAGGGAAGACATGGAGACTACCTTAACCATCGCCCAGGTTAGCATTCATGTGGAGAGAGCCATCCAGAGGTTAAAACTGCACAATGTATTGACAAACCGTGTGCCACTGACTTTAATTTCACAGATGGAGAAAGTCGTACAGGTTTGCAGTGCTCTGGTGAACATGCAGAGCCCAACTATAATGCTGTAAAGAATGCAGAGAAGGTGTTTGCGAAACACTTCAATGTACGCAACGGAACAACAGTATAAAGCATCTCGCAACATCAGCGTTGGCAAATGTGTTATGCCGTCGTTGATCACCAGTCTTTCAAATTTCAAATTCGGAAAAGTTTGGTTAGCAACCAGCCACTCAAGCTAAAAATATCTAAAGCATGACACACAATTTTTCAACATTCGTGAAATGTGTGGACAATATTTAGTTAACACTTTGGTATGAGCAGTGTGGAAAACAATCACAAATAAAAATAAAACTTTTTAGAGCGCACTTTTTCTGAAAATAAATGTCCTGTTCTTTAGTCTGTAAAACATTCCAGCAGTACCGACTGCTCCTTAGTGCAGAGTGACAGCCACCAGGCCCTAAAACATTACTGACATTTATTTGTAAAACATTCCAGCAGTACCGACTGCTCCTTAGTGCAGAGTGACAGCCACCAGGCCCTAAAACATTACTGACATTTATTTGTAGTTTCTCGACCACATACCAGCATCACTTGGTGGTATAAAAGATGTGTTTTTAAAACCCAATCAAATGAGAGACATGTCAATTTTCGCTCACAAGGCAAAAAGAAGACTTTTGTTAAAGTTGTATTAGAGAGTTCCTCAAGTAGATAAGTGAAATAAAAGAATTCTAGTTTTGGAACAACTTCTGAAAGGAAATTCATGTCTCTGTCTACAAAAAGAAACTTGTCATCCTGCACGGGGCTCCAAGCATAAAACACTGCTTGACTAAGGTTCATGATGTAAAGCTGGAGCTGTAGTTGAGTGTAGAAGCTGTGGGATTTCTTGAGGGTCAGCGTCCCAGCCTGACAATCGAAAAACTCCAAGATCATCTTTCCCTCCTTGTCGATGAAGGGTACCTTCTCACACCTGGCTGGACACTTGATTTTCACGAGCACCGTGTTTCCCTCGTACCGCATGAGCCCATCGGGGCTGCAAGCGAGCCATGGTTGCTTCGGCAGCACGACAAGTCCAGTCTGAAAAATGTGTCAAGTTGGGCTAATGATGCAAAATATTTATTTCAAACTGCTAAGCAGCTCTCTCTGAACACGAAGTTGCTAGACCCTGGACGATATTTATTTTCTGCCGAAGACAAAAGTTTGAAGCATTTAAAATTGTGTTACAACATGTTCACAAATAATAATACAGTCAGGGCTACAGTAGCCTTTACTTCACAGAACTCAATGTATCTGTATCATCAGACCGCAGAGGCAGCCTGATTACTCCTTGCCAAATTTCCACCTTATATTCATTTTATCGGAATGTGACGAACTTTGCCCAAGTCAGCAGATTACTAGATTGAGTGACAAGCCTTCCATCCTAAAATACAAATGGACGGTAGACGAAGAGAAGCAGTCATGATTTTATGTTACAAGATCCAATGACATTTATGCAGGTCATTACCAAAATGCCCATTTCATACAGATGTCACGACAGAGCCCTAGCTGCCGAGGAGGCGGGAGGAGGAATAAACTTTATTTTATTTTAGTTCAGGAGTAGTGGCAATGGGGGGTCTTCTCAAAAAATATTCTTTGCCGTGAATGTATCTTAATGTGAGCAGCTGCAGGGTGCTGTGTTTGTTTAGATCTAACGCGCACAGGCACAAGTTCTTTCAAGAAGGGTTCAAGTCTCGCTGGCATGCGGTCATAAAAGGGTCTTCAGGATTTGCGGCACACATACCTCAAGAATGGGAGTCTGAAGTTTCTGCTCCAGTGCCTTTCGTGCCTTTGGTTCGTTCCGGAGACCTACATACAATGGACAAAAATATTAACAATGTAACGCACAAAAAACGACACATAAAACATTATTCATGGTATGCGACTAATTAATTGCGGCGGATCAACTTCAAGGTTTAGATATTAGCAAACTTTTTACCATATGGAGTGGCTGGAGTTGAGAAAGGTTTTTGCAGGTCATCTGCTTCGCCAAGGCTTCGGGTAGCTCTCTCCTGGTGCGGATAGGATAGCAGCTTGAGCTTGTGAGGCAATACTTTCGCACTTCATGCCATCTGTACAGAGAAAAGAAAGATTGGTGAAACGAAAACAACCGATGTAAATAAATTGTACTGCACATGTCTGTCAATAGAGGTGCAAACGCAATGAAGTTCTGCATTTTAGAGGAACTTTTTTTTCACAGCCGAAACAGATGCCGTGATGAAATGGGTTGGTATGCAGTAATATTTCCTAATATAATCTTTGGTAGTCTCATCCTGGAAAGGTCAAGCAACCTTCATACTGCACTCTGTAATTCCTGTGATTGCATTCAACAAAAAGTGATACCTCTGTACACCACCAGAAGCAATTCTGTAATTGTCAAAGTGGCGACTCCAGTGCTGGTTGTTTCTAACCCTTTAGTTGAAAACTGCCAGAAAATCGTAAGCCGAAAGGTATACTTATGGTCAATATTATCTGATGAATTAATTGTGACTTGGGGAGGTTTGTAAACTTCAGTTTTATGTGGACCTCAACACCCTTTTCTAGAATCTAATAAAACTTTTCTCCATTGTAAACAGGTCTCCCAACTTGCCGAAAATTGCTCGACTGGCCACGGGTTGCCGTTGCGAGGTCGACGACTTCATCAGCCAAGCACACCTCTGTAGAATAAATGATCCTGGCCTCGCAGGACAGGCCATTCATGAAGTCTGTGTTTACTTGCTGCGTTGTTTGACTGTTGAGGTCGTACACAGTACGCGTATGGTGAAACAGTGTCCTGTCAGCACTCATATTTCTAAGAAGGGCCGCCAGATGCTCCCTTTCAATGTTGGCGGAGACCGTCGACACCAGACTTTTCACCACTATCTTGGCCTCTAGCTCTACCTCCGTCATCTTCATGGCCTTTAGAACACTGTTGAGTGAGCAAACTAAATCTTCATAGCATCCCATGACATCAGTGGGTGACTCTGGCCTTGCGTCCTTGGCACACGTGAGGGGCCAGCTAGAAGAAAGAATTCCGGTCAGGTTAAAAGTGGTCATTAAAGGCAAACTTACACTATTAGCTTCATCCTAGTTTTTTTTTTAATATACTTCGCACTGACCGAGCTTTATTACCTTTTAAGCGGCTATACAGGCATTAGAATTTCTGAATCACCTAGTTGAATAACTGGAACTTTTACTTAAATTGATTTATCCCTGCAACTTTTGGAGGAAGAACAAAGTTTTACACACTTTCTTTGTGTAGAGAGGCTCTAGAAACATTCAGATAGCTGTGTATGGAGAGTAAAAAGGGAGACTTCGAGACGGCATTTTTTCTAAGCCTCTTGCAACTGCATAGAAATTGCGATTTCGGTGTTACTTTCACGAAAAATGCAACGCTGCTAGCATGAAACTAATCAGCTTTCACTCGGTTTAAGAGTAGAGATAGGAGGAGGATAAGTTCACGAAACCAGGGTACGTCAAGAAAGCGGGTTCGGTTCCCGGCAGCGGCGGCCTGCTTTTATGACGCAGGCGAAAAGCAACAACGCTCGTGTGTTTGAGCTTTCGGCACACGTTAAAGATCCTCAGGTGGTCAAAATTCATCCGGAACCCTGCACTACGGCGCGCCCCGTCGTCTGTGTAGCGTCGGCACGTTAAACCTCACAATCAATCAATCACGAATCCACGGTGAAAAGAGGAATCGAGCGAATGCATTCCTAATCAAAATACCTGGCAAAAGGTCCGCGATGGTCTTGTTCACGTCCCGCTTGGTTTTTTTCGACGGTTTTCCCCACTGCTGAGGTCTGCTTCTACAGGTATCGTCAGTTGCCTCATTCACGTAGGCGCACACAGCCGCAGCATGCTTCCAGCGGCCGGTTATTCCCGCCTTGCAAGAACACGTCCCGGAGGCTACGGACCGTGTATGAGCGCAGATCTGCATGCGGAAAGTCAATTTAGTATCACCACCTTTGTGTACTTAGCCTCTGAACGCGAATACATTCGACAAGAGCGGCAGAAAGAACACAAAAAAGAGAAAGAGCGTTTCCCTTCAGGCGCACATCCTAGACGACGTTGTCTTGCACTTGTGAAACGCACTTGGCGTTCAGCTGATGCTCGTCTGCTTGTATTATCTCCTCCACCGCGAACACATGTTTCACGAGTAGCTTTCCCTTCGTCAGGTTCGCCTCCCTAAAAAAATATCTCACAGTTTTCGAGAGGAAGGAAGCCGCAATAGAACGCCAACGTGTTACTCGCCATTGAAAACCAGCAGCGGCGGCACGGCAGCTCGGTAGGCCTGCGGCCAACTAGGGTGGTTCTCCGCCGCGCGCAGCGCTGCTAGTATCGCTCCGGCGCGCCACCTGGCCCAGCCATATACGCCCCTATAGGGAGCTTCACGTCGGCTGCTGACTCCGGTTTGCAAGTGCTAAGGACGTCCCTGATCGTTCTACGTCAGGGGCGTCCGTCAGTGCGAGTCATGGTGCCCGTCGCTTCTTCGACACCTTCGAAGGCGCTTGTCTTTGACGTTGTTGTCCCTACGGGGACTAGTGCCGAGACCATCGTTGATGCGACGGCCTCAATAGTCGGCCTCTCAGAGGTATACTGCGTGCAGCATCAGGGAGCTCGAAACTTCCAAGTCACCGTGAAGAGCATGGCCTACATGTCTCTAATCGTCAATGCTGGCTGCCTGGTGATTGGCGGCGAGCGTGTTCAAGTCGTTCCCGTTGGCCCACAAGTGACCAACGTCGCCTGGCTGTTCCTGCCATCGTTCGTCTCAAACGAAGCTCTCGTCCAAGCGTTATCCCCATATGGCAAGGTGCTCACTGTCACCAGTGGTTTGATGAGCGGGCGACGCGGCGTACTCACTGGAACGCAGTATGTTCGAATGAAGATGAACGCCGCTACTCCTGTGCCGAACTACCTGCGCATCTCCGGTCACCATGCTACGTTTGACTACCGTAGTCTCCAGCGTGTATGTCGAAGATGCGGCTCAGGGGACCATCTACGAGCCCAGTGCACAACACCGTATTGTGGTCGCTGCGGTGTGCACGGTCCACGTTAGTGAAGGATGTGACCGCCCGTGTCGACGCTGTGGGGACGGCCACCCAACTGTGCTTTGCCCTGTCCGCCGCTCTTACTCAGACGCTGCCGATGGTGCCTT